AAGAAGAAGAAGAAGAAGAAGAAGAAGAAGAAGAAGAAGAAGAAGAAAAACATGTGAAAGCCTCACCAGCCTCACATAAAATGCCCTGGTTATTTTTTCCACCACTGCCCCGAACTCTTGAAGACACACTTACAGTAGTCCTCACTTACCAATCAGAACTGGAACTGGCAATTCCATCACTAAATGCCATGGTTGCTGAGCAAAAAAATAAATAAATTACATGACCATCCCAGACTTAAAACGTCACTTCCAATTTTTGTCATTAAATGAATCACCGTGGTTGTTAAGCGAGATGCAATGTGATCACCTGGATGGTGATCATGTGACTGCGAGATGCTGCAATAGATGTAAATGTGAGGATTGATTATGAAGCTGTTTTTTTAAAAAATTATTATCATAACTTCCAAAGGTTGCTAAGCAAGGCAGTCGATCAGCAAGGACTACCTGCACAGTCTCAGGTCATCCAAAGGTTGTCCACCACTATTTTAAATGGTGGAGTGCACAGTTAGAACATTTCTCCTTTGCTATATGAAGCTTTTACTACTTTCTCCTACCTTATGTGCATTTCCCCGGCAATAACAAACTGCAATTACCCTTCAATATTTACATCCCCCCCTGCCCTGAATTTTTCCATTTTGCAAATCCAAAATAATGTACAGAAATGCACATATAATGGGGAAAAGGAGAGATTACACATACTTTCTTGGCTTTTATATGTGCACTCCTAATATACTGCTGTCATTACAAGACATTGTACAAAGAAACACTTGTAGTGACATACAAAATAAGGTTCTTCGAAAGAAATGTGTATGAAAATGTATTTTTTTTCCTTTTAAAAACATTTTAAAAGAAAACACAACATGTGAACGATACAAACATAAGGGAGGAAAATTAAAAATTCGGAGACTTTGAAATCTATAGTGTAAATAATGAAATTATTGTTGCTTTCATCACTGAATGCAACTTAATGTTCTAATCACGCTAAGGAAGTAAGGCAAGAGTTTCCAAGAGTTCCTGGCCTGCTTGAAATTTGCAGTTGGGTCCCTGGGATCAAAATCATTATACTAATTCCTACTATCTGGCTCCATAATCTTCCAAGATCAATGCCCCAGATCAGCCAAGGTACATCATTTTTCAGTCAACAGATTGCCTTATTATTACTATTTTTTATAGCGGTTAGTAGTGCAGAACTTTAATTACATAAGGATCACCCCCTTGACTTTCATTAACATATACGCTTCCCTCTTTCCTGTTTGGTTGGCAAAGTAATTACCTGCCATTGTACTACCACAATCTTTACCTTACTTAACTGTTTTAGATAAAATTGGTGGGCCTGACCTTTTTTTTAAAAAAACCTAATCTGTCTACATCTCTGATTTCTTTTTTAATTGAGTGAACTCCTCATGAAAGGAAAATAATCACAAGACACAATCCAGTTTAATTCAATTGGCTCTGTGAATTATACATGGTGGTAAACTCTACTATATATGTTAGTTGATCCATTCTGTCAAGGTATCATACAAAAATGTACCTTTTCTCTAGCTACTCGAGGCATCTAATTGAGACATAAGAACACAACTCCAGTTCAAAAATGCACAAGCTGAGACATCCCAAAAAGCTTGGGGTCCGTTTCCCCAAAGATATAGGGACATTGTTATCAAACCCATAGGATGACAGAAAGTGGAAATTATTAAGTATATGGTGATTAATTATAATTAATGTTGATAATGGAAATCAGTGCTACATTTCATTTTTGTCACAGTTTAACTATTTTTCTGGGGAAAGCGGCCCTTAGCTTTCAGCTTAAAATTTGAGCATGGCTGTTACGTAAGAACGAGAAGGCACCATCACACAACAGGTGTTATGCAGGTTCCCAAGTGTGACTCAGTAGAAAAATAAAAGACTGAGTCTGGGTTTGTCTTGATAAGCCAAACACATTTATTCAGCTGAATAAAGATGGGTCCTCCTAAAGATGAAGGAACCCTGAACACGGTGTGAGGCATATACAGAATTTATACATTTCTTTGCTTTCACTTGGTTACATAAGAGGAAGCTGACATGTGACAGATAAGGTATAGAAATGTAGAAATTATGAAAATAGTCAAGCACACCTTCTGTGATTTTGGTCACATGCAGAGGTGGTATTCAGCAGGTTCTGACCAGTTCTGGAGAACCAGTAGTAGAAATTTTGAGTAGTTCAGAGAACCGGCAAATACCACCTCTGACTGGCCCCGCCCCCATCTATTCTCTGCCTCCCAAATTCCAGCTGATTGGCTGGATCTTCTTTGGTTGCCCTGCACAGGAGAACGGAGCCGGAAAGCAGGTTAGTGGGGTGGGGAGGGAATGGGGATTTTGCAGTAATTTTCCTCTGGAGTGGGGTAGGAATGGAGATTTTACAGTATCCTTCCCCTGCCACTCCCACCAAACCATGCCCACCAAGCCACACCACGCCCACCAAGCCAGGCCCACAGAACTGGTAGTAAAAAAAATTGAATTCCACCATTGATCACATGCCTGACCCACAGGCTAGTGGTTTCACTGTGAAACTTTCCATGGCCTCTAAGGCCTGCTGAGGCCTAAACTGTAGTTTTGCCATCTCAACATATGTTCCTTTCAGACAATCATCAGAATTGTCACATTCCTGACCAACACAGGGAATTTATGTCAATGGGAAGCAGATTCTGTCATTCAAACTCTGTATATTATGTGTAAAGACTGAACCGAACCTGGTGACGACCATTAGAAAGGCCTACTTTCAATGCAGTTTCATTACATCGTTGCTAATACTACTAACAAAAATATTTCCGGGCAAATCAAAAATAGGTTTGTTCATTTATTCAACTATCGCCCTTCCCATTTATTTAGACAACCCTCCTTGGGGATTTTAAACATTAGGTTGGGCATCTTTCTTGAAGCAAACACCACAGTTTGTCTTTGAATAGTGCAAGGAGAATGTGAAGAGATCCACAACAGGAAATACAGATAGTCCTTGACTTACAACAATTCATTGAGTGACCGTTCGTGGTTACAATGATACCAGTGGCGGGATTCAATTTTTTTTACTACCGGTTCTGGGGGCGTGGCTTGGTGGGCATGGCAGGGGAAGGATACTGTAAAATCTCCAGTCAGAAATTATTTGCCAGTTCTCCGAACTACTCAAAATTTCCGCTACCGGTTCTCCAGAACTGGTCAGAACCTGCTGCATACCACCTCTGAATGACACTGAAAAAAGTGACCAATGATCATTTTTCTTACTTATAACCTTTGCAATATGTGAGCAAAATTCAGATGCTTGGCAACATACTCATACTGTATTTATGATGGTTGCGGTGTCTTAGGGTCCTGTGATCACCTTTTGCAACCTTCTGACAAGCAAAGTCAATAGGGAAGCTAGATTCACTTAACAACCAGGTTAATAATTTAAGAACTGAAGTGATTCACTTAACAACTGCGGCAAGAAAAGGTGTAAAAACCCACGAAACAAATACCTTGCTTAGCAGCAGAAATTTGGGGCTCAATTGTGGTCATAAGTCAAGGATTACCTGTAAAAAAGTCCTTAAAAGTCTTAAAACCCAGAAGTGAAAGAATCGACTTGAATGATTCAATCTTCGTGACTAGCTTTTGCTGGCAAAGGTCAATGCCAAAATTTAGCAACCGATTGTAGAGAAGTTTAATAATTAGAACTGGCAGCACGAGTAGCGGTGGACATCCCTTGGTATGTCCATGTGACACCTATGTTTGAGGAGCTGCTGTCGTTGCCACTTTGCTTCAGGTGCATTTCAATTGCTGGTGATTGCTTATAAAGCCCTACATGGCATTGGGAGAGACCATTGGTCTCCCATAAAGTCAGCCTGCCTGATTTGATCCAATAGAGTCCAGATTCCTTCAATTAAACAATGTTATTTAATGACACCTCGGAAGTATGCCTTCTCTATAGCCGATATCCACCCTCCACCATACAGATGACCTCACTCTGTTACTATTTAGAAGACTCAGGAAGACCTGGCTCTTCATCCAGGCCTTCTTTGGTGAAGGATAGTTAGACCTCTCATCTCATTGCCTTTGATGTCTTTGTCCTGATCTTCTATGTTGTAATGTCAATTGTTTTATTTTTTGTCAGCTGCCCACAATTGTTGAGTGGCAATATACAATCTCTCTCTCTCTCTCTCTCTCTCTCTCTCTCTCTCTCTTCCTTTCCCTCTCCCTCTCCTTCCCTTCCTCCCTCTTTCTTTCTCTTTGGAACTTTCTGGTGCTTAATATTTGCATCCTTTCCTTTCCCTGGGGGATGAATATGACACAAATATTCTGTGCAAGGATCCTCCCCCGCTTTTATTTTTTATTTTGGATCAATCAAGTTGATTCATCAAGTTGATTTTGCTGGTTGCAATATAAATTGATCTCGGCTTGTTACCTGAGGCCTATATTTCCCTCACAACAACAACAACCCTGTGAGGTGGGTTGGGTTGAGAGACAATGTTAACCTTCAGCCTTTTCTCCTCTTCTCCCCTTGCTCATTGTGAATACTTTAAATCCAAACATTCTGAGAGAATGTTTATTTGCAACCATTTTATAACTTAATTCTACAGATTGGAAAACTGCAGGCTGTTGCTTTGCCTAGCTGTATATAATAGAAAGCAAGAAATAGGAAGTGATTCCAAAAGAGGCAGCTGTGGGGGTTAAAAAGCCCTTTGCAGTGATTAGCTGTTGCTTCCAATAGCAGTTTGAAAAATCCCTGCAGGCATGTTCTTTTGCTACATGAGGAATGTAGGTGGGAAAATGAGGTATAATTTTGTCTCTTTTAAGTTTATAACAGAGCTCTAATTGATTTTTTTTTCTTTTTGAAATGGATGAAGCAAAACTCCTCCCCTTGTTCAAGGCAGGAAGAAATGGGAGGAGAAATGATAAAGATCATTTTGACACAGGACTGGCTAGGCAAAAAAAAAAAAATGTTTTCTTTCAGTGAGGGAAAAAAATGAGATTCTGGAGATTTATCCTGCATTTTTAAATTGTTCTTATGGAACAGGCCCCTTGGGATGATTTATTTCCCCTAAAGTGTAGAATTTTATTTAAACAGAGCAGTAGGGGGCAAGAAATATGAAAGAAAGTAGCTTTTTGAAACTACACTATGACACAAACATCAATGACAACAAGCCCCACTGACTTTGAACTCAGTGAGGCTTATTTTGCTATAATTT